TTTCTACTGTAAGCTTATGAATCACCAAGCGTAGCCATGAAGAATAAAATTTGAAGTCCAGAGAAGTCTGACTTCCCTTAGATAATTGGTCCTTGATTTTGTCCATATTTGATTTGCTTTTGCTTATATTTAACATCTTTATTCAGCTTAACTCTCCATATCTGGTTTTCTTTGCTGCTGCTACTTCTGTTAGGATAAATTCCATATAGCTGCTGTGGTTTGGGGGCTCTATAAGCTGCATCCGGGACTTCTGTTCGTTGGGACAAGAGTCCACCACCAGCAGTCCACCAAATCTCCAATAAAGACTCACAATTGTCTTTTTAGCAGTGGCTTCTCTTTCTCTTTGTGGAGTTTCCCCACAGCAGAACCAACCAACCTCTTCATAGCTAACAGGCCAATGGCAAAGAAGGTTTTCTATACAGTGGCCCTCTAGTAAGTCATTTCCACTCCTGGTGCAGGCAGGATCAATTCCTTAGCTTCTACTAAGTGGAAAATAGAGAATTGCTTCAGTTAAAGGGAGGTCAGGAACACATTGAAGATACTCCTTCAATTCTTCTCTCTAGTAAGGCTGCCTTAGATCACAATTTCCATGGGGTCTCTTAGGACTCCCTATACACCAAAACTGAAGTCCAGCTGCAAATAGCTCTGCAGTAATAGTCACAGCATTCAAAGAGCCAATTTCACATCTTCTGTGAATGAAGAAAGACTTCATGGTCAGTGTTGCCATAACAAAGTTATGAAACAGCAAGGAGGAGAAGACTTGGGAGGTGACCTCTCTTAAATCTGAGGGTTTTAGTAAACCAGTTGGAGCAGATGCTTCTGATGTCTGGTGTCATGTGACCCTTTCCCTGTTCACTTTCACCTATCATTTCCTGCAAACTCAGAAACTGACCAGAGAAAGCATGATCTCAGAAAAAAGCACAGAGGCTAGGTAGAGTACTTGACTCAGTGGGAGGAGTTCTCTACAGTATTCTACCTTCTACCCTGTTAGAGGGTGAGCAAGGCTCAGAATGGGTGAGCCCAACTTCGAAAAGTTTTACGGGACCCAATATATTTAAAAGTGATATATACAAAAATTGAGATTAATTTCTCCCTTTAAGAAAAAAATCCTAGCTCTCCTTCCACTAGTGAAAGGCTAGAGTATTGGAGGCAGTGACCATTTGTTGCTTGTTTCAGAGCAGAGCAACACGTGGTGCTAAATCACCTGGTTGTGTGCCCTTATAAGACCTGAAAATCCTTAGCTCGGGGCTCCTCCGAGGCTCCACTGTGTCAGAGTGTAGGACGAGGCCCGAGCTGCAGCCCGTTTAAATAGAACAGCCTTGGAGTCTGACTCTTGGTGGTCTTATTGTGGGGTTCCTGCGACCTTGCATAACACTAGACTATCCTGTCTAGAATAGCTGTCAGGCAAAACAGCAATGGTCTTAACAATAGACTATGAAAGTTATCAGATCAGTGCCCCTGCTTCCTGAGTTTCCAGCTGTTTCCAGCTGAGCTTCCAACTCTCTTTAAACGCATCTTAGTGGAATCCAGCTCCCATTATCCTGTAGTGGAACCATACAACACAATGCTTGGGCAACTGACCTCCCTTACTTCCATTGCCTTGTAGTCGAACCTTATAATGCGATCCTTGGGCAACCCAACTCCCTTACCTCTTGCTCTGTGGAAATTAATCCCTAAACAGAACACTTTGTACTGTCATGCCATTTTTAAGATTCTGCTTTCAAGGACAAAAAGCAATGGCAACTCTGGAGCTAGGGGGAGTAGTAGCAGAAGTCATCAGTATCCTTCCAGATCATGACAGGAATATCTCATGATGACTCCCAGGGACTGGTTAAAGTGTTTGGTGCTACCCAAGAAGAAATATAGGTTATTACATCAAGACCAACCAAAGGTACCGTTTCTCAACTAGGTGAGTTAAGATTACTTAGAGGTAACTCTACCACGCCAATGGAACACTAGTAGATTAAAGAAAAAAACTTCTGCTTTCAAGCAAGCAAAGGTTACAATTCTGAACATTCAGAATTAGCTCTCTAGACCTAAGGCAGTTGTATGGCACCAAGCGTCTCAGTGCTGGAGGTTAAAGAGTGGCAAAATGTGGTAGCACCACAAGGACCCACCTTGGCATCTTTGGACAAGACTTCCACTGAAGAGGAAACTTGAGCAATGGGCTATACAATCCTTCATATAGTACATGAACAGCCATGTCCACTGGTAATTCCAAGTTTGGTGGAGTGGGAGGAGACTTGCTAACGACTTTGGAAGTCAGCAATGACGACAGGTTCTGAGTGACCAATGCCCAGTGGACTCAAGACTTAACCACATTCACCAGGAAGGTCTCCAAACTAACCTTAAGCTAGTCTTAAAGCTAAAAGGTTTTAGGTTCCGGACTTCAGCTGTGTTGGAACTACAATAAAAGGCAAAATACACAATGCTAGCAGGTCTCCATGATAAAAGTCAGGGAGCCAATAAAGGATTGAAACTCAGACATAAAGTCAGGGTTAGTCTATGCAGATGAACCCAAGAACATTGACTGAGAACTCACTGGAAGCACCCAGAAATGGCAAAACCAAGCCCCTATCTTCTACAAATGGAGAGCCATTGATTATGATCTGAGGACTTGCTAAGCCCTCTCTTGGGATAGAGAATGCAGAAGATTTTTTGTCATCAAGATCTTTGCTCTTCTTACTGAGGTTAAAGGCCTAGGATCCATTTCCTGTGCAGCTTGAAGAGGGAAATATGACACCAGCTTCAAGAAGAAAATAACTTACTCGTGGAAAAGTTTGCATGGCCTATCCTCACCTGGGAAGTAGACCTTGATGTTGTAAAGGGGGAGACTGTGTCCAAGACTGGATCCCGTGGTTAAGGATTTCATATTCTGGAAAGGATTCATGGAAATGGCCTTCCTACAGCTCAAGACTCTTCTCTGAAGCCTCACATTGAGTGAACATAAGGGAGGAAGGAACACTAGTGAAGAACCAGTTACAAGCTCAGCATTGGCTGTCCTCTGTAGGTCAAGAATGACACTAGGAGACGATGCTATGGAACCAGGCTTCCTGGTGTCCGTAGCGATGAGAGATCAGAGCTGGCTGGCACAACCTCTAGAGACTAGGCCAATGTAATTATAGCAGGCAGCAAGTCATGTAGTCACCCGCATGTCTTGACCTACCAAGGGTCTCTGATGGCTCCTACGCCCATTATCTTCCTAGGGATGAGAAAGGGCTGCTAGCTGGGTAGGTGGACTTCTCAACCAAGGCATGGATGAGGTAGTGGGAAGGATGGAGGCAGCCACATTGATGAGAGATCATCACCTCTTATCTTACTTCTAGCTTTATACTAGATTTCAAAACCTCAAAGAGCCCATTGCTTCAAGGATCTAAATCTTCTTGAAAGACAAATTCTTCAGGAGTTTGTCTACAGGTATACAATGAGTATTATCCCTAACCTTCCAGAGACTTCAGCAGTCATTTACTGTAATTGTACACTGAGAAAAACCAAAGAGGCCATGGAAACACCTACCAAGAGACCCTATCATAGTCCCCCAGGATAAGGGCCAGACGCTCACAGTTCAAAGCAGCCAGTTTGATCAACCAGAGAGGCACAGAGTTGTGATAACACCCAAGTATTATCTTCTCAGCCCTGAGTTTGCAAACAATTTACTGAAGATCATAGTGGAGATCATGTCCCCTTCCAAGTAGCAGCTCTAAAAGGTAGCTGCTTTGATAGCTATCTTTCCTACCAAATGCCACAGATGTGCTTCCAAGGGTCAACATACATTCTTTTCCACCCTCCTTGATAAAATACAAAGGTAGTTCAGACCTCCACGCAAGAGACAAGGAAAAGTTCCTGTTCCGTCACTGTTTAGACTACAGATTGCTTTCACACACCCTAGAACACCAATCTAATCCTTTCTTTCTGGTGACTCCATGTTAATTGGATCTGGTTGTTTAGAAAAAGGGGAGGGAGATAGCAAGTTCTCTGGCTGTTCTAGCAAAGTATCTACCTGCCAAAATGTAGCAGGGATACCTACATATTCTCACAATTGCCTTTGCCCAGTAACTCAGTGTTATGGACCAAGCGTTGCTGTCAGTCACACCGATTTGTTTAGACAATTTTCCATTTTCTCTCCATTATCCGATCATCCTTCCCCGAATTTCCTCACCTGTGGGAACTCTTTTACATCTCTCTTTACATCTTTTACATGAAAGGTCAACACCTTCTTTCAACCATGGGAGTAAAGGAACATTTCAGGACAACAAGAAAACAGTTCTGGACATGAATGCCAGTACCATCAGAGAATGAGCCCCAAGTCATGCCTCAATACATCGTCTAGAAGCTTCTACAGCTGGGCTTGTGTTTACAAGTCTGTCCCCTTTCCCACCCTCTACTGAAGGATGTACTTCAAGACAGCAGTGTGCACTATGTCCCTCGTTTTACACAGCAGGATAAGCCTTTATATTTTTTTTCTAAAAATCTTACTCTTGTTATTTATAAATTGAGTTCAGAGACCAAAGTACCCACTATGAAGACGGCAGGGAAAAACTAAGCCATGTTCACTGATGAGGATTTCTGGATTGTAGTCTCTCATGGCATTGGGGACATCTCCAAGGCAGAACGCTGCCGTATCTGGCCTCCCTCCTCCCCTGCTATGGGAAAAGGAATACAAAACTGGTGACATTTTCATCCAATTTAGAGAAGACACACCACACTTGGAAACATGGTTCCAGCACACCTTGATTATACTGAAGACCTTTTGTCTATACAAGTCTCCAATAAAAAAGGCTGTAGGATACTCTGCTGTTTTTATCACTGTATGTATACAATCCAAGAAAACCAGTGAGCCATCTTTGGTATAAAGAGACATTAAGAAGTGACGGGCAAGTCATGCTCTTTGCACCATTTCTGAGCCCAACATCTGAGACACTAGAGGCTTCCCGTTGGATGGCCTGTGGTTATGACTAGAGCTGGCCACATCAGGTGAGGGACAGACTCATGAAAAGAGAATGGGTGACCCCAACTGTATCCTTCAAGATGGACGCAGTCAACCCAGGATGGAGACTGAGGCAGTCCTGAGAGCACATGAACATGAGCAGGTAAGGGCAGATATCACCTGCCTTCTGCCAGGATCACGACAAAGAAACATTTTTCCATGTTTAAGCCACATGGGAAAACAGCACAAAATCTAGTTGTCAGCTGGTAGAAGACTCACTCTTAGCTTCAAAATGTTAATAGTGACATCTTTTCCAACTTGACAGTGAGGCAGCAATGGATCTCCCCATTTCTACCATCACAGCAGAGCCAGAGCCCGTGCCTCAGGTCACCAACTAAGGTAAAGTTCTGGTTTACACGCACCAATGTATATTTGCGCTATGGAAGTGGGCAGGGAAAGGGGAGGCAGCAGGGTTGAGGTGGGTTCTGGCACCCATGCCTCGGCCCAGGGGAAGAAAGAACACCAAGGCCCACACATGCTTTCTGTCTTAGAGCCTAGGCCCAAGGGGAAGGCTCCACAGTAGCCTTCCGAGAAGATCATGGCTTTCAATTTGTTTATAGTAGGACTATAAAGGGCTAACACTTTATTAACACAGGGTGGCCTGAAAACAGCTTGAGCATGATAGCTAAAAACCATCAATATCCCCAGTATTCCTTCTAGAAATGCAAGCTTGCACTCTTATTAGGAATGCTCTGCTTACCTCCGAGTCATGAAGAGCATCATTGCTTCAGAAAAGCATGGGCAGAGGCTCAATAGGGTGCCTTCTCTAGAGCAATTCTACCCTGAGATCTCAACTACCCTGTTAGTGGATGTGGCGAGCAAGGATTGGAATGGCAGGGTGAAGCTTGCAGGAAATCCAAGAGTCTCCCCTAATTCCCTCCCATCTCTCCGTTCTACCCAGTCAGTACCTCGGTGGGGGGCGGGGTAGCTAATTTGCAATTGTGATTCAACTATGTGTCATCTTAGCAAAGGCATGGTTGAGACATTATAGTCACACAGGGAGCAGCAACTTAATGCTGCTAACGAAGTTAGGAAGATCTCTGTCCTCGAGTAGAGTCTAATTGATTCTGGAGAGATGATTCAAAATTCATCTGAAAATTTGTAGGCAAATAGCTTTTACCTGGGCAGATGCCAGAGAGGAAGGAGATTGATGGTTAGATGCAAAGAGATCTCTCAAGAGACATGTGGGTGGAGCTATTTAAGGAGTCACAAAATGTGATCTGTGTGTAAGAACTCAGACATTCAAGAACAGACTCTTGTCCATCTACAGTCCAAATTTTCAGATACATAATGCTTCAAATGGCCCATTCATGGTGACACAAATGCAGGTCACATAGACCCAGCAGCATTAACTTTCTCGCTCAGACCTGTCCATCTACTTGGCCTTGAAAGCAGCAAGACTTGTATTTCGATAATGAACTTTATGATCATTCCTCAAGAAAATTGACAATCTGCCTGGGGATTGAAGGGTTAAAGTCTTGAGGCAGTGACCACTTGTTGCTTGTTTAAGATCAGCAAATTCTGTCTAGCAGAGCAATGCATGGTGGTAATCCAAATACCTGGTTGGTTGTGTGCCTTTATAAGCCCTGCAAATCTTTAGCTCGGGGCTCTCCTATAAGCACTGCAAATCTTTAGCTCTGGGCTCTCCTCCTAGGCTCTGCTGTGTTGGAGTGTAGGACAAGGCCCGAGCTGCAGCCCATCTAAGTAAAACCTTAAAACAGCTGTAAAGTCTGACTCTTGGTGGTCTTCTTGGTGGGGGTCCTGCGACCTGAGAACAGGGATAAGTTGAATAGCAGATCCCTTTTTCACCCTGGAAGAACTATTTGCAATTAGAAATTATTTGTGCCGAGTCCTGCCTTACTACTCTTGCTGATAACCCAAAAGATACTCTTTAGTTGAAATTAACTGTCTCAGACTAAGAAATCCATTTGATTTGTGACTCATCAAATGGTATGTGATCAAGGGAGCTACTGGTCCTACCAGATTACCAGAAATAGGTAAACAAGCTGGCTAGATGTTATAGTTCTCTTTAAAACAGTACCAAGAATCCAACCCTGGAAACAGTCCTGTGATATTGGCACAGTCCTTCAGAAAAAGACACGTGGCCCCCAATAGTCTAAGAAGTGCAGAGTAGCAATGACCCGAGGTTCTAGTTCCTTGAAGGAGAGGAATGTCTCTACCAGGATCTGAACTCACAGTGGGAATCAGAGGCAAAGGAAGAAAAGAGTACATTGGCAGAAATCTCTTTGCTATTCAGGTTGCCACTATATCATGGGAATAGGTCAGAGAACACACACAGAAAGCACTTTGTGGTGAGTTCCTCATTTTGGACAACTGGGTAGATGATCCTCATTATCTGCTCAGTCAACTTTAGCACCATCAGGAGCTCAATCCTGCGGCATATGCTATTAGATTATCCCCACAGGCACCTAACCCAGACAGCAGAACTTCAGGCAGAAGATAAAGGGAAAGGTAGCATCGGTTGAAAATGAGTATCAATTATCACAAGTTAAAATTTCAACAGCAGATGTGGTCCATTCATCATAGTCAACTCTGGCAAATTTTTCATTTCCCTATTTCCATGTTCTAGACTCAAGAATTTGACAGGTCATTCCAATCTCAAACCAGAGTGCCCTGGTGATGTCAAGTTTCAACTCCATGGATCTTCATGGCCACTTTTCAAAAAAAAAAATTAAATGTCAGTCAGCTTCCTTGGTCTGTTCGGGTACAAATTGTAATATTGCAATACGTAAGAATGAATTTTTTAAAAGCGAAGCACAGTTTTTTGACTTGATGCTTAATCAAGTTTATATTCAAAGTGGAGACATTGAGCCCACCATAATGCTTTAGCAATGGCATTCTGATTGCTTTAGATTTTGTTTTGCTGTGTACGCATGGGGTGCTGCTAAAGGCATGCTTTATACAACACTACTGATATTCCACCTTTTCATGAAGAGTTTCTCTGATCTCATCAATACAAATTTAATTAGAGACAAAACCATCACTAAGCAAGACTTGACTCTGCAGTGTTTCCTGAAGGAGCATGGAAGACTGTCATATTATAAACCTAGTAGATTCAATGAACCAAGGAGAAGTAGTCAGTAACATTCTTGCATCTTTGAATCCTTATCCATTTTAGATCATTTTTAGGAACTCTAAAGCTGGAGTTTCTTCAGATGTCAACTTCTGTCAAAGCCAGTTATTTTCCTTAGTATGAGGCTCTATCTAGGAACTAGGAATAAATTTGAGACTGAAATACTTTAGCCGAGTTGAAGTGAATATTCCCTTCTCTTAAAAAGACCGAGTTAGCATCAAATAGTGTGCCAGAAAGTTCTGGTGGCCACACCAATGTTTACTCTTCCAGAATCAGTTTATCCAAGGATGTCACAGAAACGAGTGTGAAGTACTTCTCCTGGCCTCTCTAATAAGTTGATTCTGTGAGTGGGAAAAGGCCCCTCCCAGACCTAAGCTGGGTCTTTGATGAGTTTACCTCTGGGTCAGGTGGGGCAGGTGGGGCATGTGGGGCCCCTCCCACCTCCTCCCCAGCACTGAATAAATACGAGTCTTCTGGAGGACTGGAGCCATTCTCCTTTTCCCTTTGTGGGAAGGTGGCCTTGTCAGCTCCACTGGAAATAAACCTCCCTCCAGGGACGTGGTCCAAGTGGTCTTCTGGGGTAAGTTCCTTCCGGCCATCCACACAAGACTCGGCACTTTATAAGACCAAAATTTGAGACACGGCCTTCAAGTTATATGCTTTGGTTTCTCTTGGATTTGTAGGTTCTGATGACCTGGTACTTGAAGAGGGTCTAGACTTTCTTCTGTTGCTTTTAATTCATAGCTACAAGTTAGACTGAAAATTGCTCATGCTTGGAGCATTAGAACCAAGGAAATAAGGTTCTCTGTTGAGCTACTGCTTGTTGCCTTTGTTTGAAGCATCATCTTGGACTTCTGTGTGAAGATGGCAACCAGCAGTGGGACAAAAAACTTGGACTTTCCAGCCAAGCCCTGGCTGGCATTGGCGGTGGACTTAGCTCCCAAGGTGTCAGTCAAGGAAGATTTGGAGACTGGAGTTTACCTTGACCCTGCCGTGAAAGAAGTTCGGTACAATCCTACCTATGAGACTATGTTTGCTCCCGAATTTGGACCAGAGAATCCCTTTAGAACACAGCAAATGGCTGCCCCTAGAAATATGCTATCTGGATATGCTGAGCCAGCTCACATCAATGATTTCATGTTCGAACAGCAAAGAAGAACTTTTGCTACATATGGTTATGCATTAGACCCTTCACTGGCTAATCACCAAGTGTCTGCTAAGTATATTGGCTCTGTAGAGAAGGCTGAAAAAAATCAAGGTTTAACCGTCTTTGAAACTGGCCAGAAGGAAACAGCAAAGAGGAAAAGGTTCAAAGAAAATGATGCATCTAATATTGATGGTTTCTTGGGACCATGGGCAAAATACGTGGATGAAAAAGATGTAGCTAAACCTTCAGACGAACAGCAACAAGAATTGGATGAAATCACAGCAAAGAGGCAGAAAAAAGGCAAGCAGGAAGATGAGAAACCTGGGGAAGAGAAAACAATCCTCCATGTTAAGAATATGTTGGACTATCAAGGGAGGTCCTACCTTCACATACCGCAAGATGTTGGTGTTAATCTGAGGTCATCTGTACTGCCTGAAAAGTGTTACCTTCCCAAAAAACAAATTCATGTGTGGTCTGGACACACAAAGGGAGTCAGTGCAGTCAGATTGTTTCCTCTCTCTGGCCATTTATTGCTGTCTTGTTCCATGGACTGTAAAATTAAGCTCTGGGAAGTTTATGGAGACCGGCGTTGTCTGCGAACAGCTATTGGTCACAGCAAAGCTGTGAGAGACATCTGCTTCAACACTGCAGGAACACAGTTTCTTAGTGCAGCCTACGACAGATATCTTAAACTCTGGGACACGGAGACAGGACAATGTCTATCAAGGTTTACAAACCAGAAAGTGCCCTACTGTGTCAAATTCAATCCCGACGAAGATAAGCAAAATCTCTTCGTGGCTGGGATGTCTGATAAAAAGATTGTACAGTGGGACATTCGAAGTGGAAAAATTGTCCAAGAATATGACCGGCACTTGGGAGCTGTCAATGCCATTGTCTTTGTGGATGAGAATAGGAGATTTGTGAGCACATCTGATGATAAGAGCCTTAGGGTTTGGGAGTGGGGTATCCCTGTAGATTTCAAGTACATAGCAGAGCCCAGCATGCATTCCATGCCTGCAGTGACTTTGTCTCCAAATGGAAAATGGTTAGCATGCCAGTCAATGGACAACCAAATCTTAATTTTTGGAGCACAGAACAGATTCAGGTTAAATAAGAAAAAAGTTTTTAAGGGCCACATGGTTGCAGGCTATGCTTGTCAGATAGACTTTTCACCAGACATGAGCTATGTAATTTCAGGAGATGGAAATGGCAAGTTAAACATCTGGGACTGGAAGACTACAAAACTGTACAGTCGGTTTAAAGCCCATGATGAGGTATGCATCGGGGCAGTGTGGCTTCCACATGAAACTTCCAAAGTCATCACATGCGGGTGGGACGGTCTCATCAAATTGTGGGATTAATGGGAATAGCCCTTCAATTACCTAGGATCGTTGTTGATACAAAGTCATGTTTAACTGTATTATTAAATGTTAGATGACAACTTGATGTATCATGTATCCCTTGTATGGCCTTATGTAATCGAACCATTGTTCAAATAAAGTTTGTAAATTTGCTCATAGCATTTCATTGGTAACTTCATTTAGTTCTTTATAGGTATTATTTAAACAAAGAATGACCATTGACTTTCTACTTGACATTCTTGTTGCTGGGCAGTTTGTATTTATCCCCATATGACATTATTGAAATGATCTCTTTGGTGTCAGGAAAGAATATCTTACTCTTTGGTGTCAGGAAAGAATATCTTACTGGTTTGGAACCCAGAGAAAACAATGTAATGAACGACTGTATACAATATACTATGATATCATATACTTGCCAGTTCAACTAAAAGGGTGACAAAGAACAGAGATACTGTGATTTAATGTATACTCATGTAACTGCTTGCGTGGAAACCCCCTGAACTTGTTTGTTTGATACTATAAAGCTGTGCTAATTTTGTGCTCGGGGCCTCTTAGCGTCACCAGTTACTGAGTGCGCGGAGGACCAAGCTCGAGCTTGCAATAAACGACTCTGCTGTTTACATTGATCGTGGTCTCTGGTGGTCTGTGTGAGGGCATCCAAAAGCTTGGCACTTCACTCAAAGAATGTCTCCCAATTACTGTTCCCAGTACAGAGGAACAAATTCTAATCTTTGGCTTCATGATTTCCACTTTTTTTTTACATGTTCTATATTTTTAGTTGTAAGTCAGTAAACTTGATTGTAACATCCTTGTAATTACTAAACAATGTAAAATAAAAGTCCAAACATCTTCTCCTTGACATACTTCCTCATCAGTATAGACAGAAAGAATTACAAAAGAATTACATTATTTCTGAAGCTGGAATCACAAGAATGAGCCATGGGTCTGAATTGGTGTTCACACTAAGGACCTGGCCACACCCTCAGAAATCACTGTTGATGTTTCATACATACAGATGTTACTACTGAAATCTCATAGGACACAGGGCATAAAAACATCTTTAAAAACACACCGATTTTGCTTGTGGATCCAAAAAACAACTTAGGATTATAAAAAAGTGAAACCTTTTTCCAAATATGTGGGGGGAAAGGAAGATACCTAGAGTTCCCCAGTCTGAGAAGCAGTGACAGTATTAAAAAAATTAGTAATGACAATATAGTTTAAAAAGTTATAGAGTATAGTTTTGGAGTATAGTCGCTAATAGCACTTCAGTCTGATAAGCTATTTCTCCTGCTTTATAAATCTATGTTAGTTGTTTAAATGGCTTGAAGTATTTCAGAAGGACACTATGACAAAAATTGGCTGATAGCTATTCCTAGTGCTGTCTTAAGAGAGCAACATCCTGTTGAGTGTTGTAACTTAGGATCATCACCTCTGAGGCTTGTGCTGCTATCCTGGTAGCACAGGCTCCTTGCCCTTAGAGAGCTTCTGTGTTTAAATTGAAGGCAGCTGGCAGCCAGGCGCTGGTGGCTCAGGCCCTGTGGTCCTAGCTCCTCCTGGGCTGGTTCAAAGCCAGCCCAGGCAGGAACCTCCTTCAGACCCTTGTCTGCAATAAACCACTCAGAACACCGGAAGTGGCATTGTGGCTCAAGTAGTAGAGCACTGGCCTGGAGCTGAAGAGATGAGACACAGTCCCCAGGCCCAGAGTTCAAGCCCCACAACTGACCAAAGGGGAAAAAAAAAAAAAGATACCCAAGCAAATAGGACCAGGCTTGCTGTCACATAGGAATGAATTTCAAAGAAAATAGGAAAAGAATAAAAGAGCAGATGTATTTTGTGAATCATAGGCACACAATTATACTGCCTAGCTGCTGCCATTTCTGTATCTTCAGGGAAGGGCAGAATATAAGAGAAAGGAATTCAGACATTTTAGTCCAAAGAACTGGTTTTAATAATTATTCAAATGTAGAATGCTTTTAATCCCATCACATTTCAACAGTTGCTCAGCACCAGTATTGTATATATTACAAATCATAATTTCTAAGTCTGGATTTTTTGTGTGTTTGACTGTTTCTAAGCTAGATTACCTGTCTATAAAAATTCTGTTTTTGAAAAGATCCTATTTTTAAAGCAATATATATATATATATATATATATATATATATATATATATATATCTATATCTTGTATTTTCTCTGAAAGTGGGACAAGGGAATACAAGAAACTTACTGAGACTCACAGAGAGTGAAGAGGATGGAAAACCAGGGCAGCCAGTCAAGAGGGAGTTTCAGTAACACAGAGACTATAAAGTGGGCTCGTCTTCCCAAGATTGGATTCCAAATGTCATGACCAAGACAACCCCACCCTCTGAGATGGGAGGATATTACTGCAATGTCTGTGACTGTGGTGAGAGACTCCAACTTCCTGGATCATATGAATGGAAAGAATCAACGGAACCTGGGCATGCCTAGGCATGTGGAACGTTCTATCCTGGATCAGGTGAGGAAAGGCTTTGAGGTCGGTCAATAAGACATAAACCAGCTGAAGGATTATGATTTTGAGCAAAAGACAAGAAACTCAGAGGAAGAAAAGGCTAAAGCATACAAGAAAGAAACAAAAGAACAGGAGAGTGGAGGAGGCCTTGACATTTGAGGAGGAGGAGATGGTGGCTGTGATGGGCTTCTTGGCTGTGGTTCCACCAAGAAGAGTTACTGAGCCTTTCTCTGATGGGCCTAATTTTGGCCTATGTTGGCCTTACTTTGTGGGTGTGCGTATTTGTCGGGGAGGGGTGGAGTCATTCCTTTTGGATACTGGGGAAAGACCTTCAGAGTGTTAATGGCCAGACTAGAGGGTGGGCATTTGTGGCTCAGAGGATGTTCAGATTCATATGACATTACCTACTCATATTCCACCTTTTCATGCCTTTGGATCATGAGTTTTACTCTGTTCCCATCAGTACAAATCCAATTAGAGACAGAACCATCACTAGGCAAGACTTGACTTTCCAATGTTTTCTACAAAGTTCTGTTTATAATATGACTCTTGGTCATATTATAAACCTAGAAGATTAAATGAACCAAGGACAAACTCACCGTTGTGAGTCAGTAACATTCTTGTATCTTTGCATCCTTATCAATTTTAGATCATTTTTAGAAACTCTAAAGCCTGAGTTTCATCAGAAGTCAGTCTCTACCTTTGGATGTCAACTTCTGTCAATACCAGTTATTTTCCTCTGTTATCAGTCCCAAATTGATTCCTAGTTCTAGATAGTCCCTCATACTTATTAGCTGAGTTGAAGTGAGTATTCCCTTCTCTAAAAAGGACTCCGACTTAGTGTCAAATAATGTGCCAGGAAGTTCTGGTGGCTGTATCAATGTTTACTCTTCCAGAATCAGTTTATCCTAGGATGGCACGGAAAGTGTTAAGGACTTCTCTGGGCCTCTCTTCTAAGTAGCTATTGTAAGTCAGCAAAAGGCTGATGACAGTACCTGTGGGGCATGGGAGGCACCTCCTACTTCATCATTGTATAACAGTCCCCTTGAAAGAAGAGACTGGGAACATTTTCCTTTTCTCTTTGTGGCAACTTGGCCTTGTCATCTTTGAGTAGAGAGGTTTATTGCCAGCAATCTACATGACTTTGCTCATGTGGTCTTCTGGGGTAATTCACTTTCAATAGCTAATGAGTATCACACTATTTAAAAGACACATTACCCATCAGGGCCAAGCTTTCAAGTCTGGCTTCCCTTTGAATTATGGTCCATTGGTTAGACAACCTAACAAGTATTTTGAGATTGCCTGTCCACGATGGCCATTTTGGCTTTATTAAGGCACGTGAACTCCATAGTAAGACTGGTATTATAACAGATATGCCATTTCCTTCCCAGGGCTGTTCCCAGCAGGGCCTTGGCCTTGTAACCTTTTCTCATAGCATGTTCCACATGCAATATCTGAGGATATAACTGTTGGCTGCTAAGATACAAGATATTGTAGCAGGTTATTGGTAGCCATGGCTCTATCTCCCGTCTCCTCACTCTCCTGCTCATCCTCTTGCCCATTCTTAGGAATGCAAAGTGTAGGCCATAGTGTATTGTTTTTCTAAGACATTTCAGGAGCCAAATGTTGACCACAAGAGCTAAACTCTGAGCACACTCCCACAAGTATATGCCAGCATGAGTTAAACAGGTGCTCAATTCAGCTCCTGGGATATGCCAATAGCTGCACCTCAACCTCCATAGGAAGACATGCGACATGCTTCAGCTTTCCCCAGAAGGAGGACCTCTAGATATTTGTCCCCTCAAAAAGCCTACTTTCCTCATTACACTCATCTCTCACATACACTGTCCATACAGCAGGACTTCTAGACGTGAGTCTAGCAACAAGGTGATTAACAAAACACATCTTCAGGAGGTCAATGAGAAAACGTGAACAAGCCTGGAGAAGTTCATTAAGTCATTGTATGGGCCTTATTCTCATTGCAAAGCAATGAGCAAAAGCCTATATGCCTGTAATGGACTTGAGGACGTGACCCCAGGCTAAGAAGGATGGGTAGGCCCTGCAGGATGGCTGGTCCATGTCTGCACCACTGAGATGGTATTTCTGTGTAGATTCTCAACAGGTGGCTCCCTCCAGTAGAAATACCCGAAAAGGCATGTAGAATATCTCTGGCCTTGGGTGGATAAAGGGATCCATTATTCAGGGCTTCTAACTCCCTCAATCCATCAAGTTTGTCCCTAGATGCTAACTGCCCCCCTATTTCCCATTCATTTGGCACAGAAGCTCCAAGGATTGTCCAGAGTATTGTAGGTCTCCAGAAAATCCCTACTGTTGGGTGATAATGGATACAAACAACACGGAGATGAGAGGCCACAGCAGCTCTAGGTATGAAGCACCAGCAACACAGAGGGAAAGGAGCACAGCCCAGAAAGAAGCCCAGATTCATAATATGGTACACAAATTGTACACCAGGTCAGCTTTCAGCTATTACAATGGCCATTTCCTAGAGAGGCCAGCAGGTTTTAAGAGGAATCCAACG